ATGGGCAATCGATCGAAATTCGGCCACGGGCGACCGAATTGAAGGACAAGGGGGTTGGGGACGGAGGAAACGACGAGGACCGGCGAGGGGTCCGGCGTGTGATGCGCGTGATGCACGAGGCTGTCAACCAGGTATATATAACTCTCCTCTGCTACTGATTCTGCAGCACAAGCCCAATTGATCGTGAGGGACTGGGAATATATATCGCTGACAAAGTGAGATGCCCGCTGAGTCGTCGGTGACGATGACCGTTTGCCAGCGACCAATGATAACGTGAGGCTTCCGAAGAAAAACCAAGCCGAAACCAGAAAGCAACCAAAAGAGTGACTGGGCCTTCAGGTCAGATCCCCGTTGACATTCAAATCCGATCGAGAATGGAATTGCGAAGAAATGCGATTAGCGGGATGGAGAGATGCAAAGAAGCAAGAACCCAAGACGGATCTTATCCAGCCGATTGTTATTATCGCGCTGGGCGTATCGAAATTATCACTTATCGCGTTGCCGCATACTTGGCACGGACTGGACAAGGCTCATAATTACACGACGACCGTTGGCATGTTCTATTCATCGGGTGTCGGATCTCCATTTTCAACTAGCTGGAATGTATGAAAGATGTCTCTAAGTCCGGCCTCTTTAATCATATGCCCACAGTTCAATAACTTCAGCCATGCTACGCTCCGGGCCTACCTATCGAAGGTGAATACTGTACAAGATACAGTACTTTCATTTTGCCCACGTTCAGTCTTGTCGATTGGGTTGCATAGCTAGTTAGAGTGAAGACCATTTTGTTTTTTGAGCTACCGGTGATTAGGTATGTTAGACCAAGTGATAGTTATAGACATCTATCCAGTGCTCATAGTACACGTCAAACGGAGGTATGAATTCTTTGGCAAACACGGTTTCCACATCTTAGTGTTATGCACCCTCGTGGGAGAGATCAGTTCAACCAATGCAGAGAACCCGCAATAGCAATACTGAATACTGATGTATGGAGCGAATCGTGCTCGAGCATATTCGTGCATAGAGGAGTACTCCGTACTGTACGGTACATATGCAACCCCCTTTTGTCTGGTTCTGCGTGGGTGGATTAGGGGGGTCGAGTGGATCCCGCCAGCTGTGGCGGTGCGTATGGTCATTACTGTCTGCGACCCTCCGCCCGTCACGAAGACCCTGCAATTCCCCATACTTCCAGCGTTGGTCTATCGGAGTGGTTTCGTTCTGCCGGATATATTGACACCGCTACGTAAATAATGTGTAAAATACACGTATAATAACGTAGCCCCCCCTGCCTTAGCCCCGTCTGGCTGGCCAGAATAATACCGAAATCGTCCATGACGGATCTGCCAGCTAATTTCACTGCCTTGTCCTTAACCTTCGATTCTTCGTGTCCCTTTCCACCAAAATCACCTCCGCGTGATGGATTAAGTTTCTTTTTTGTGTCATTCGTTTCTTCGCAAATCATCTCTATTAACTTGGGCTCGTTTGTTCCCTTCCTCTGAAGCCGCCACTTCTTCTCCTTCACGATGCCGAAAAACCGCCCTGCCACGTCGGGCTACGCTCGCCTCGCTCAGGAGGAGGAGGAACGCGGCTACCTCCATGACGACTCGGAAGACGATGAGATCGCTGTCGCTTCCTCGACAATCTCGGCCTCCGCCCCTCGTTATGCCCCCATCTCCTCCCGAGCCCAGATGCAGGCGTCCGGTCTCTCCACGCCCCCCGGTCATCGACGCAGACACAGTCAATATCAACGGCGTGGCCGTCGCAATTCCGGTGTCGATATCAAGGCTATCAATGCGCGTCTGGAACGGTGGGCGGACGAGATTGCTTCCAAGTTCAAGATCAACCGCGTCAAGGGCAAGACCTTCGAGGAGGAAAAGCTCGAGATCTACCACTCGGTCTTCCAGGCTCCTCCTGGCGTTCGACCGGTGACCTCAGAAGACCTGGAATCGGATGCATTTGAGGGCCAGCAGCGAAAGGCCCGGGCCGAGTTCGAGGAAATTATCGAGAGTGTGCGGCTGGCAATTGAGATGGACGTTCACCCCCGGATGATTGCTCAAGGTAGTTCAGGCAGCTATTTTGCCCGGAATCCCGAAGGCAAAGTCGTTGGCGTGTTCAAACCCAAGGATGAGGAGCCATATGCCTCGCGAAACCCCAAATGGACCAAATGGGTTCACCGAAACCTGTTCCCTTGTTTCTTCGGTCGAGCCTGCCTCATTCCCAATCTTTCGTACGTCTCCGAAGCCGCCGCTTACGTCCTCGATGCCCGCCTTCGAACAAACATGGTCCCTTATACCGATATCGTCTATCTGTCCTCCAAATCCTTCTTTTACGACTTTTGGGAACGGCGCAAGGCATGGAAGGGAAAGAAAACGTTACCTCCAAAGCCGGGTAGCTTCCAGGTATTCCTAAAAGGATACAAGGATGCCAACATTTTCCTTCGCGAACATCCTTGGCCTGACCAAACCAACACGGGTTTCCGTGCCCAAGATGCGCCGAAGCGCAAAAAGCGCCCATGGAACGAGGCATGCCGTCCGTCAGGCGCGCAATCCGACGATGAAGATGAGGACGAACACGGTTATATGCCATCGCCAAACCCACGCGACGAAAGCCGCGAGCGGCGGTTCAACTGGACCGAAAACTTGAAGCAGTCATTCCGTGAAGAGTTGGAAAAGCTGGTCATTCTGGACTATATAATGCGCAATACGGACCGTGGTCTTGATAATTGGATGGTCAAGATCGACTGGGGTACTGAACAGGTTTCGATTGTGGCGGAACCCCCAAAGAACACTGAGCCTGTACCCAAACACGACGAGGATGAGCTTATGCCTCCGCCTCGACCGGTCTCCGTGAATTCAGACGGTTCGCACCCATACAGGCGCCAGGAGACGATGATGGCAGTGAGTCGCACGGGGACTCCCTTGGCCTCATCTGAGCAGCAGGCTTCCATCCAAGTGGGTGCTATTGACAACAGTCTTTCATGGCCATGGAAACATCCGGATGCCGTAAGTTTTTCTCTCTGCCTGCACCTTATGCTCCATGACACTGACCCAAATGATAGTGGCGAAGCTTCCCATTCGGATGGCTCTTCCTGCCGGTTTCCTTGATTGGCCAGCCATTCTCGCAAAAGACCCGTGACCATTTCCTCCCACTGTTGACGTCTACTGCATGGTGGAGCGGAACACAGATGGCTCTGCGCCAGGTGTTCGCTCAAGACGATGACTTCAAGGAAGGCATGTTTGCGCGTCAAATTGCAGTTATGAAGGGCCAGGCCTGGAATGTTGTCGAGACCTTGAAGCAACCGGATCACGGCCCGCTTGAGCTGACCCGAAGAACTCGGGTTTGTGTGTGGGATGACTTGGTCGATGTGCCTGTTGCCATTCCGATGCGAGCTCCATCTATGGATGCACAGAGACGCCAAGCCACGAATTACGATTATGACGAAGAGGAAGAAATGGACATTGGCGCCGGAATTTCTTCCAATGCCGAGAACAACCATGACCTTCTCGGTTTAGACTCAGCCCCGACTGATCTCCCCAACCCGAACCGCTTTGAACTCAACCGCGGCCAACCAGACCGAGACTCGGTAGGCAGTCCTGCGACCTTGAACGATGGCGACTTTGCTCGCCGAACTGGAGATGGCGCTTACGCTAGATCTCTGGACGGATGGCCCTCGTTACCTCCTCGACCTACCAAAAACCGTAAACACGGCGGCTCTGTGTCTTTCCGTGTACCTCACGTCAATACCTTTGGCAGTGATGATCTCGAGGGTGACCTTGGATATGCCGCCGCTGAGGGCATGGAAGGCAACCAGCGCAAAGTCATTGTGGAGCGCTTGGAAGCCGTCAAGAGCAAGAACCCGGTCTTCACTTGGTGCTAAGAGACTCTCCTTTGCGCCGCCTTGTTTTGTTTCTCCCCCACCATCCTTCCCAGTATTCCTCCCTTTTTAAGTGTCGTTGCATTTTCACTCAACTATTTAATCCGCAAATTCTTCGTTTAGCGTTCTTTTCTCGGTGCTTTGTCAGGGCATCGCAGGATCTCCGGCAACAGTTCGTTTTTCTTCTTCCTTTCTTGTCTTGCCGGGGTCGCATTGCAGGTGTATCTTGATAGAGACATCTCGCTCTGCTACTTCACAGATAATTTTCGCACGCCATGCTCATGATTGGGGAATTTGTGTTGTATATAGACCGTCTCTGGCTGTTCGGGTTGGGTTGCGGCGCATTTGACTGAGCGCCTCATGTAGCATATATGACGAGAATTAATTCAATGATACCATCGTCCGATAGTTATTTGTGTGTCTGTATCTCAACTCGCAATAATCACATTGTCAAACCAGAGATATGGCTACAGTAGCGGTCTTGTCTAGCTCGGTCTGAAGATATGGTGACTGCCCCTCATTCACGCCGCTTTCTTTCTACGCTAGGATGTTTTCTGGCCCTCTCCGGGCTTTCGAGATCTTTGGTCTGATTGAACGTTGACCCGATCCAATCCAAAAAGAAAAAAAAACATACCAAACCATGATCCATATTCAGAGAAGGAAACCAGGATTATCGTGAAGTGGCACAGCGAGGCTGGATTTGGTATCTGCGGCTCCCTTGACTGCCCTCGATAAGCCCCATCCTTATCGGCGGGATCTTCCGAGTTAAGCAACTCGAGTGAGGTCATGTTCACTTTCCTGCCAAACCTCGAACCTCTTTCACTGCCAACCTCGAAGCGACGCCCTACTTTTCAGACTGAGGGCAGCGCGGGCCGTTGCTGGTGATCGAACTCGGGCTCACTCCTCTTATCCCATCATCAAATGTCGTGAGGCCTGCGTGAAATTCGCGACGGGACCGCGCCCCTCGTTTCTTTCGGTCACCTGCACACTTCTCGGTCTTGATGAGCCTCAGCCTCGGCGACGAGTTTTTATTCGTCGACTCTCTTCTTTCCTCTTCCTCCTTCCTCGATCCCTACGACTACCCTCCGAGACTCTTGCTACCTATATCCATCTCAGCCGCGCCATCATGGAGCCACACGCGGCCATGCTTCTTAACCCCAAGGGTTATAAAAAGCAGGTTCAACGCAATGGTAACGGCCTCTTCAAGCCCCCCTTCACCCACACCTGACAACCAAGACCATTCTGCGATCGCCATGGAACCCAGCGGGACGCTACTCTCCTTTCAGCAATCCCTCCAACCCTCATCGACCGAGGTCCCGGTGTCGTCTGAATGCGCTAGCTCACAATCTCTAGGCATCGGACAACAACCTTCATCCCGACTCCCCCGCGAAGCCACTTCTCAGATTTCACCTATCGCACCCCCAGGAACAGTCCCTATAATGCGCCCCAGATCGAATCAGCCCTTGAATGAGGAAGTCACCGTCCAGTTTACAAACACACGTGACGGCGAAGACAGCGATTCCAAGCGAAACTACCATGAGATCAGTGACAGCGACGACACCAGACCTCGATCACGCAATCTGATCGAAAATATCTATGACATCGAACAGCGCAGACACGAGTTCCAGCCAGCGAAGAAAATGAAGATGGATGGCACGGTTACTCCAGGCAACATGACGAGCAAGCCTGCGATCCCCGCAGATAATGGTCTTGGACAGTGGATGAAGGATGGTGAATCTAAGCCAAATTCAACCTCAACGTCGACCCCGACTTCATCTGATGTGGTGGACTTGACTGCGGATCTCCCCAAGGCTGCTGAAGATGACGATGTGCAAGTCACTGGATCGAACGATCTCAGCAACCAGCGGATCTGCTATGGTAAGCTGGAAAATGCCATGGTCAATGCACACCTTGTTCCCAAGCCCCGTGCGAACCCTGTGCTTGGACCGGAGTCGTTGCAGTGGTCATCGATGAAGCTGGATTTGGTCCGGGAGGCACGCAAGGGTGACAACCGAATCGACGTCAAAGACCCCTTTGGCAAACTGTTTGCAACTGTTGATGCGAAGACTTCCATCGCCCTTTGCCCTTTGCTTGACTCTCCTGCATTGGGAATCGATGTTACCGCCCGCTTAGACATGCGAAAGAAGGTTGCTGGCGAAGAGGTCTGGCAGCCGACTCATGGGCTTTATCGAGCATCCATCACTATATACGGACCGCGAAAGCACGTTGAGAAGGTTGGAAACTTTCTGGGTCAGCACAATGTCTGGTTGGGTACTCCGGTTTTTGTGGAAAATGGGGTGCCCGTCTTCAATCCGCATGCTGAACAACGACGTGCCATGGCTGCAGCCGCGGCGGCGAACAACGGTAATCGTCCGGTGTCCAACATTCGCTATGAAGTGCGCACCACCGAGGAGGTCACCGATTCGGTGATGAAGATGTTCGACAAATTGGTTAGCATGGATATTCCTAAGCTGGAACCTCCTGCTACGGTCGTTACACCTCTTTTGGACCACCAGAAACAAGCTCTGTGGTTCATGAAGGAGAAGGAAGCGCCGCGGAAGTACGGTGACAAAGAGGAGGATCACAACTCCCTGTGGCGCAAGATCATCCAGAATGGCCGCACCAAGTACCAGGACATTATCAGTGGGGTCATCTGTGATGAGGAACCAGCACAGACTTACGGGGGCCTCCTGGCTGATGTAATGGGCCTGGGAAAGACCTTGAGTATCCTCTCGTTGGTCCTGTCTACGCTTGACGATGCCACCGATTGGGCTCGAAAGATGCCCGATCGCCACCTCGTCCGCAGCATTCCAGGTGTTCGCAACACGCGGACTACACTTCTAGTTGTGCCACTTTCTACGATTGCCAATTGGGTCTCGCAGATCAATGAGCATATAAAACCAGACTCGTTGAAATACTACGTCTTCCATGGTGCTTCACGGAAGACTGATTTGGACGCACTCTCCGAATTAGACCTGTTGATCACCACTTACCCTACCATTCACAGCGAGATTCTTGGAAGAGGTGCCAAGCGTGGCAGTCCCTTGGCGAAGATGAACATGTTTCGAATTGTTCTGGACGAGGCCCACAGCATCCGAGAGCTGGGCAATCAACAGACCAAAGCAATTTTGAGCCTCAACTCGCAGCGTCGTTGGTCCGTCACTGGCACGCCAATCCAAAACCGCCTTGAAGATCTCCTCTCGGTCACCAAGTTCCTGCGGCTGTTTCCTTACGACGATCGGGCCAGATTCTCCCATAATGTCATCAGCCCCATGAAAACTGGAAATGCAAACGCGCTCGCGAGTTTGAGAGTCTTGATTGACTCTTTTACTCTGCGTCGTGTCAAGAAGATGCTTGATCTGCCTGAGCGGACAGAGAAGATTGTCACACTGGAATTCAACGAGAAGGAAGCACAGCTACATGAATTCTTCCGCAATGAATCCAATGCCATGATGGGTGTTATTGCCAAGGAGAGCAGAAAGACCATCAGCGGTCGCATGTACCACGTTGTACTGAAAGCGATGATGATTCTCCGCCAAGTCAGTGCTCATGGCAAGGAGCTTCTGGACATCGAAGACCGGGAGAGAACCAAGGGATTGAGCGTGCAGGATGCCATCGATTTGGAAGACAGTGAACCGGACGAGAACCAAGACGCATTCGACAAAAAGGCCCTTCGTCATGTTGATCTTATGGTCCAGTCAGGAGACACCTGCAAGATCTGCGATAAGCTCATTGAGGTGCCGATGACGGAGACTGGGGCTCAAGACAAGAATTCTCCGATGGCTATCTATTTGCCCTGCCTATGCGTTCTTTGCCCCGATTGTTTCTCCCCCTGGAAGACCGTGTTTGACTCGAAGCCGGACACAGAGATTCAGTGCCAAGTCTGCGGTGGCTGGACCCGACTGCAGTACTCTGAGGTCACAGCGGCTGGTCTTGACAGATTGCAGATCCAGCAAAAGGAATCGCGTAAGAATGGAAAGATTCTGGGTGAATATGAGGGTCCGCACACGAAGACTCTTGCTCTCATCGAGAATCTACTGTCAATCGCCGCGGAAAGCAAGACGCTGGTTGGTGAACCACCTATCAAGGCTGTGGTTTTCTCGCTTTGGACTTCACACCTAGACTTGATCGAGATCGCTCTGAAGCAGAATGGCCTGGACTGTTTCACTCGACTGGACGGAACCATGAACTTGAAGGCCCGCAGCAAGGCACTCGATGCCTTTGCCAAGGATAACAACATCACTATACTCCTGGCCACTATCGGTGCCGGCGGTGTCGGCCTGAATCTGACGTCTGCATCTCGCGTCTTTGTCATGGAGCCACATTATAACCCAGCGGCAGTCGCGCAGGCCGTTGATCGTGTACACCGCTTGGGTCAGCACCGGGAGGTAGTAATTATGCAGTTCATCATGAAGAACAGCATCGAGGAAAAGATTCTCGAGTTGGCACGAAAGAAGCAGAAGCTCGCGGACATGAGTATGAACCGTGGCAAGCTTGACAAGGGTGAAGCACAAGAGCAACGCATGCGGGAATACCGCAGCCTTTTCAAGTGAGACTGTGATTTCTTCACAACATCATCTGCTATTGGGAGGACTCTACGTTCAGAGCCTCTGCAAGGCACGGCCTTGACTCTGCTTGCTTTATATTCTAGCGATTTAGGTGGGCGGATGGGTTTTGTTTTCTGGTTTCAATTGATACCCGGGGAAAAGGATATTCGGATTCATATTCTTTCAGGCGCTGGAATTCCTTGCATTTGGTTTTCTTTTCTGCTTTTTCACAGATAGTACATTCCCCTTCTTAGTTTTGTTTTGCAGGTCCACCTGTCGATACATGCGTGCGCCCTTCAAATAGAGTGACACGCCATTTGATAACTAGATAGGTCATATTTAGAATGGATGCATCGATGCAACACCACATCATTTGATAGCGATCATAGGTACTGAAGATAATCTTACAATCCTCGAAACCCTCTTGAAGAATGCATATTCCCCCATGATGGCAGCGCCGAATCTGACGAACTGTAGTTTTCGAACTGTGAAACATGCTGACACCCGGCGCGTTCGAGGCTGAGTCTGCTATATCAGCTACAAGAGTTTCATTACATCCAGCTCTAGGCAGATACTTTGGTACGTTACATGGATACGCGTATTTCAGAATCTCCAGTTACTCTTCATAGCTCTTCCAGGAACAGGGATGGAAGTTGATCAGCTTACCATATATCCAAGGTTAGTCCCGGGGCCTCCGAGACAATCGGAACAGCCAAGTCCCTGCAGGAAGCAAGTTTCTGTATCTCGGAACACAGAATATAAATAATGGTGGGAGGACGTTGAGCTCAGGTGCTTGAAAACTGATCGTATCTTGAGCATCAATTAACAAAGATTGGGCGAACTCATCTGAACCGAATTCAATCTATTCAAACCTCCACCATATTTCCAAAGAACAGAAATCTCCACAATGAAGCTGTATACTCTCGCAACCACAGCTCTCCTCCTAGCACCCGCATTGGCCTGCAACTTCCTCGATATCGGAAGGGACTGCACCTGGGAAGGTAGCTGGCCACTCTGCGGTACTACAGACGACCACATCGGGATCAAGATTGACGGCCGCACGCTGGTCGAATGGACCCGAGATAGAGATTTGAAAGACATTTGCAAGAATGGAAAAGACAATGATGGAGATTGTTGCAGGGATTATGGGCGTAGCTGTGTTTCTGGGTATAAACGACTCTGGTGCAAGCATTACACTGGACCGGACCCAGTCGATGTTGCGGATGATGTATTGAATAGGATTCTACCAGCAGTTCTTCCTTAGGTTGGGGAGTTTGGCTTATGAGGATCGTGGTGCTCGTCGGTCGGGGGGTTTCTTCCTACACTTCTTTGTATGAGCAGTTCAGATCAGAGGATCATGACAGGCAAATCGCATCCAATGATCAATTGGTATCTGTAGAACGAAACCACAATAACGGCAATACCATGATTCCATAAAGCCAGCGTTCCTTTGATAAAGAGAATAAACCATTCTGGGTATCTGAAGCCCATCCAAGTTCACTATGATCCTACCGATCCCCATAAAGTCCTACTGATACAGCACCAAGCACATCCTCCAGTCTACCTCTCAACCGCTTCAACTCCTCCGCCTTTGCAACACGCTCCTTCTCTACCTCCCGCAACTGAGTCTCCAATTCTCGAATTCTCGCCTCCTGCTCCGCTTCCGAAGCGCCGATGCCTGGTAACACGGAGATCAGGTACTCAATCTGCTGTTCTTTGATAATGAGATCACGCGCTAGCTCTCGCTGCCGAGCCGCGAACGTGCGTGGCGAGTCCGGTTGTGGGAGGAGATTGGGATCTTCGCCTTCGACGGCTCCGGGTTCTGTCCCGGGTTGTTGGGTTGGTGGAGGTACTGGTGACTGTTCGGCGCCAGCGGCTGCTGCGGCTCCTCCTGCTGATGCGGCGATGGAGGCGGGGACGGGTGGGGAGGTTGTGTTCTTGGACATTTTGGCTAGAGCGGGAGCAGCACTCGGGATTCCGGGCGGTGGAGTAGCAGGGGAGTTGTCGTGGTAAGTGCTGAGGTAACCCAATGTGGCGTAGAACTGAGTTGCGAGCTGTTGGTGGGAGAGGGTGTTAATCTAGGGCCTGATCGGTTGGAATTGGGAGGACTGACCTGGTCAAGGCATGTCTGGAGCTGGGTCAGGATGTCTGCCATGGCGGCTGATTCGGATGTAAAGAGAATATAGAGAAGCAGGTTTTCAATTGAATTTGGCAAGGAGGATAGAGAAGAGAGAAGTTGAAGTGACAAAGTTGAGATAAGACGAGCCGCGGATGCAGATGCGGAGAGAAGGTTCAATGCGGTAAGCGCACATTTCTCAACTTTCACACCACTCGATGCGACACTTGCGCCTACACCAAGGCCTCGCTGCCAGAGACCTATTTACAAAGCCACTCAATTCAACAAGCCCGTGTCGTCGCTGCTTCTCCCAATCCCGAACCCATCATGGCCTGACACCATTCACTCGCCGCATCTTCAAGCTCCCCTCCGCACCACCTCCGCCGTCCCAACACCACAACGACCTCACCAGCTTCCTTTCCTACGCCGAGCGCATATCCCTCCCACCAACAAGCACCGTCTACGTAGGAACCCACTACGAATACACCGTCCTCCAAAGCCTCCGTCGCTATGCATTAGCCCTGCACCGCATCGGCGGCCGCGACGACGCCGGTATCGACCTTGTCGGTACCTGGCACCTGCCAGAGCGGGAGCGGGAACGCGCACTCCGCGTGTTGGTTCAATGCAAGGCACTCAAGACTAAGCTCGGGCCTAATCTGGTCCGCGAGCTTGAGGGTGCAATCCGCCAGGCGCCTGTCGGTTGGCGCACGGGCCAGACTGCAGGCGTGCTGGTGAGCCCGCGCGAGGCAACCAAGGGCGTACGGGACGCGCTGGCGCGGAGCTCGTACCCTCTTGTTTGGATGATGGTTGAATTGGATGGGACATTGAAACAGGCGCTTTGGAATGCCCGCGCTGAAGAGCTAGGGTTGGGGCCTTTGGGGGTGGAGACGCGGTATGGTGCGGGTGCGGCCGAGTCTGGCTCTGTGACGAAGGAGGTCGCTTTGACCTGGGATGGGAGTGATATTCCTGATATGGATCAGGTGGAGCAGAGTTTACTCCGCTACGAGGACCAATGGGTGAAATACTGGAGTGTGGACTCGTTAAAGGTCGATAAGGAAGCTCTCCTGGATGTCGTCGACAGGGTCTTCCCAGATGGCCCGCCAGAAGCACAACCGGATGGATCTATATCGGGTGTAGATCAGTCGAAGGTTCTGCAGGCTCTACTAAGATCATAGACTGCACTGTACAATAGTCCAACTAAACATAGGACAAAGAGTGGCATTGCCATGTCATTAATATCAAAGCATCTGGGGTATAATAAACTCCGCCAAACCACCGCACAGAAATCCTCCATAAAACGCCTGAGAAGCACACACAAGTCCAGCCATTACCCCTGCATTGTTGACCAGAAGTAGTTGGCGTAGAAGAACCGGGAAAACTTCGGATCGATGTTGACGACATGCACGTCGCCCTTGCGGCTGTTCCGAATAACCGCGCGGTTGAAATTGCCCGCCTCATCAGGCTCGATATCGACGCCCAGAGAGCGGAAGATTTTCAGCCGCAATCTGTCAACTCGTTAGAAACCATTCATAACTAGCACGCAAGGTCGTCAACTCACATTGTCGCGTCATCAGCCTCCCGCTCACGGCGCGTCGTCTCGTCACCCTCGAGACCCTGCGACTCCAGATCGGCCAGTCGCTCCTTGAGCATCTCGAGCTCGCTTTCCAGACGCTCACTCTCAATTTCCAGCTCTGAAGCAGCCTTGGCAATGCGGAACTTCTTGGTGTCTAGTTCCACGATCTCGGCGGCGTGTTTGCTGGAATCGTGCACTGCAACTGCTTCTTCGTGCTGGGTGGTTAAGGAGTGGAGATGGCGGGCGAGTTTGCGCAGGGATGTTTCGGCTTCGCGGATGCGTAGGTCTCGCGATTGTTGGAGGGTGGAGAGCGAGTCATTGATGCGCGTGACGGCTTGTTTGTCGGGTTGGATGTTGAAGTTGCCGATGGTGTGGTGGATGAGCTAGGGAAGGGGTTAGCTTGGGTTCGGCCTGACTGATTACGATCGCGTACTGTAGCGGGATCCTCGTCGAGCAACATGGTGATTGTATGGTATACCAGTGCGATTTGTTCGTTGGTAGGTCCGTTAAAAAAAACCTAGTGTGGATATGTCACTGGTGATGGTGGGATGGAGTGTTTTGATTGTTGCTGCCGCAACCGCCACACCGCGGCCCAGCGGGCAAAAGCACCGCCACAAGTTTTGGCTTCTTCGCTCCGCAAGTGACGTCTGCTTGTGACGGCCTTTTCTGCTGCCTCCCCGAGATTCTTCGTTCCCACCTGAGAGTCGCCTCAACCCATCTTGACTTGTCTCATTTCCTTAATACACCACCCACTATTTACCTCTCCACCATGTCTAATCTTCCATGTGCGTTGTCTATGCTCCCTTCCGTGACCTGGCCGTCTTGACTGACTTGTTGGCGCCACACAGATGCTGCGGATGCGGAAAGGTCTGTTGTCCTCCGCTGACGATCCCCGTCTTCTCTGAACTCGAGAAACTGATTTGTTGAAATGAGGCCAGTCCGCTGAAGCCTGCTGAGCTGCAGGTGCTCCGCGCACAATACGAGAAGGAAGGCGACTATGTCGGCATCCAAACGAAGTTCAACTATGCTTGGGTACGGTCGCCGATCCCCGTGGCCTTGAGGCCGTTCGCCCAAGACCTTTCGACATAAACACTCTTTTGCTGACCAGGCCTCTCCGCATTTTGCGGGGTTCGCTTTCATAGGGTCTGATCAAGTCGAATACCCGCTCCGACCAGCAAGAAGGTGTCCGCCTCCTGTCCGAGATCTTCCGCGGAGCCCCAGAGCGCAGACGAGAGTGCCTATACTATCTTGCGTTGGGCAACTACAAGCTGGGCAACTACGGAGAAGCCCGCAGATACAACGATCTTCTGCTGGAGAAGGAGCCGGCCAACTTGCAAGCGGCCAGCCTGGGCTCCCTCATCGACGATAAAGTCGCCAAGGAAGGACTCATGGGTATTGCGATCGTGGGTGGCTTAGCCGTGGCCGCAGGAGTGGTGGGCAGTCTGATTTTCAAGGGAGCCAGAAGACGGTGAGCTTTGCAAGTTGGCGATTGGCGCGGTCTGCATGCCTGCAAGGGCTGTGGCACAGCCCGAACGGGGCATGTCCTTGCGTTGTGATCCTCTTTTAAGCAGTCTTCAGGACACTTCAACTGTAATTATGTTCATGTGGGAGCTTTTTTTAGGCCTGCTTGATTTCTTAGCATTTTTGATGGCGTTTACTTGACTTGGCTCTTTACATAACTTCTCCTGTCTCTAACTACTTTCTTTTCCCCCATGACTGTACGTTTGGTTCCGAGAAGATGCATCCGTATGCGACAGCTACATAGCTCTGATTTATGCTCTAACGATGGATATCGTACGAAGATAAAACCAAATATACTATGATTATCTGGCATTTAATATTTCGAGTCCATTCTTTATATTCGTCTGGCTTTGTTTGGTTCCCCATGTATCAAGAGCGGACGTTTCCAGATTGTTCGTCCGCGCCTCGCCCTCCTTGCCACTTGCATCACCAAACCTCCGAGACGTCTCACTGGCGAAAGAAACGAAGCTGCCTGATACTCATGCATGGGCTATTTTTACCTCTGCCGTTGATCAACGGTCCTTGAAAATAACGTTGGTTTCATCCTTCTCTTGCTGTGTCGCTTGTTTCATGACCTAGATCGCATATACTTCAGGCAACTGGAGGCGCCGACGTCATACTCAAGAGGAACTCGTCGCATTGAACACGTCAAATTTCGCTTCATCTTGCCTCAGTCGCCTGATTTTCCCTCGTTCATCTCCCTCTGAGCTTTGGACTCGCCTTGTTTGATCGACCGAGGCAACTGCCGACAAACGCAGCCCTCTCGTTTGGCCCTGCCCCGCGCCTGATAAGACCATGACTCGTGACTCCGCGCCTCCACGCCCGGCGACTTAACTTTTGACTCTCCATCCTTTGTTTCTTTCCTTTTTATCACTTTCCTGTGTGTCCACGCGCTTTTATCTCCCTTACGACATTTCTGGCCTCCTCGCGCCATCTCTGGGCGGATATGGCCGACAACGGCGATCGCGTTTTCTGTCATGCTTGTGGCGGAGTCTGGTTGCTGGACACCAGGGAAGACGGAAGTGATAACAGCCAGAAGTGCCCACACTGCGAATCTGATTTCACTGAGATTGTACGTGGCAACTGATCTTTGCTTTTTGTCTTTGCTTTTCTGTCCTGGCCCCCGTATCTCTAACCCCGCTCTCTTTTGCAGATTGAAATCCCCCCGGAAAGCCCTGAGCCTGAACGCGAAGCAGAACCCCAATCGCCGCCAGTAAACCCGTGGGCAGATCATAACCCGTGGGCTCAAGAAGGATCAATACCACCTCGGACATCCGGCTGGATGGAGTCGGGATCCCCTGGATACTCCCACCGTTCGTACCAGTCCCCCGATGGCCGCTTCACGTTCTCCAGCACCACGATCGGTAGCAGCTACCCGTCACGCCACGATGCTCAGCCAAATCCAGTGCTGCCATTGATGATGCAGAGCCTTGGTACTTTATTCCAGGGACTGTCGGGGACGTACGATAACCATCAGACACAGCGGGGCCCAGGAATGGGAATGCCCCCTCACGCTCATGCAGCGGGCATGCGAGGATCGGATGTCATGCATGATCCTTTTCAAGCTCAGGAAGAACGTGCCAGACGCCACGACGGTCACTACCCCCATGACCCGAATGGTCCGCAACAAATAACAGCTCCTTTGCAAAGCCTAGCCGAGTGAGTGACCAAAATCCCCCCTATCCAAGCATGCCTCTTGTGTATGGTATCGTTCCATGTAGCTAACTCTTGGCGGTTCTTTCGTCACCGCAGCCTTCTCGATGCTCTCCAAGCCAACGGCGGAACTCAGAGAAATACGGCCGGACGCGGCGCCCAGGGCATGGCTTTGCAGAACCCTTTCGCATTGCTCTCGGCTCTAATGAACATGGGCCATAATGGCGATGCCGTTTATTCTCAGGAAGAGCTCGATCGGGTCATATCGCAATTGATCGACCATACCCAACAAGACACGGCCCCTCCCCCTGCTTCAGATTCCGACATTGATTCGCTGCCCAAAAAGAAGATGACTAGGGAGATGATGGGGTCGGACGGCAAGGCGGAGTGCTCGATTTGCATGGATTCCGTGGAACTCGGCACCGAGGTGACAGTACTGCCCTGCACCCACTGGTTCCATTTCGACTGCATCAAAGCATGGCTGAGCCAGCATAACACCTGTCCACACTGCCGAAGGAGCATCAATGCGACTGGCGTGTAAGTTGAATCGTGGCTATGTCATGGTGGCCATGATGAGCTGCCGACCGAGAATCTGCTCGGCTGACAACATTGTGTAGCACAAGCCCCGGCGAAGGCACCAGCGAGAATCCGGTCGTGATCCCAGACAGTCCCGATTCCTCACCCCAGAGACGGCGTCGTCGCTCATCTCCTTTCACTTCGCAAAGTATCCGTAGCGCTCGGTCTTCTAGATCGAGATCAAGCCGTACTTCCCCTACCCCGGAGATGGGCGAGCCTGGCACACGACGTGGAAGCGGAGGCGAAAGTTCCCGTGGCGGAATAACAGGTTGGGTTTGGAGCCGATTCGGTGGTAGTAGCAGTTGATATGATTAAGATATGATGACGAGTACGATATGCAGCGTTCGGGCTTTCTTTCTTCTTTACTTTGGGTCATGGACATCCTGGGTTCTTATGGTGACACAAGTTTTTCATGGCTGGGCTTTTCTTTTCTGCCTGGCTCACAGTTCATACCCCTTGTTTTCCAGCCAGCTCCATCTTCACCTTCTACACAGGCGGGTTTCTTGTGTCATGTCTTGGCTGGTCCTTACATTTTCGTTTCTACATGTGTACATTTTCCTTTGTCTTATCCCCACATTGCCCTTGCCCTTTCCTAATGGATGGAAGACACCTACTAAAGCCCAATTGTTTGAGTGTCCCTCGACAACGAAATCATAAAGAAAATCCATCGAATCTCCACAATTTAGACATGATCTTGATCACTGTCGAATGGTCATCAAACATGAGGATACTAAGAAATGGTAGCAATCATTAATTATACTAGCTCATGTCCAGCAGGTAGAGATAACCCCAACCTACCTCCTATAATCACAGAGTACTTCCAACCTTAACAATCTTCCCCGATTCAACCTCATAAATGTACCCAGTGATAGGAACATCTAGTACCAGAGGACTCTCCTTCAGAATCTGAATATCATCTAACACACTCTGCTCCAAATCCCCAAAAGGCAAGAACGCAATATGATCCGCATCCTGCTTGATCTCCGATCGAATCTTGCTTCGAATCACCTCGTCGCTGAAGGTGAGCATACCACAATCGGTCTATTTGAATCAGTCAGCTAGAATGCTCAATGCGAACAATGTAATGAAGTCACGAACGTGATGCACGACGACAATCTCTCGAGTTCCGAGAAGCTGCTGCGAGATGACGATGCTACGAAGCGCATCGCTAGCTCGACCGCCTGCGTTGCGGATGACATGGGCATCGCCCTCTTCGAGACCGAGGGCTCGAGCAGTGTCTGGATAGAGGGTCAACCAGTGTCTTCATAGCAGAGTGAGATATATGGGCCGGTGCTTTGGGGGCTCACCGAGACGCGCATCCATGCAAGCTACCACAGCAACCTTTCTATTCAGATAATCTCGGTCAGCTCCGTTTCTTACTTCTCGAATTTATCAACATACCTCTTGGGTGGCAGCGCTAGATCCCCTTTCGTAAAAGAGGCGGCATATTTCGCATTAGCGGCTTCGAATTCAGTTGCGACGGACATGGTGGAGATAGTGGTTCAACGGTGATGCTGCTGTAGTTCAAAAGGACCTTGGGGACAGGAGACGATATGTAAGAAGGTGGGAGTTTCCCCGCATTGAGGTGTTTGGAGTAAGATGATGTGATCTTCGGATAGCTCGAGTATTGATGGCGTGATGGAGCTGACCAACCTACGGGCCAATGACAAGACACAGGGATGTTTGCAGTTTTTACCTTTTTCTCAGTTTGCATGTTTTCTAGCTGAATGCTCATGTCAGACCTTGTTGACAGTATAGCAGTTCCGCTTGGGGTAATATGATGGCCATAGACTTCCTACTCAGACTCAGAGGATTCGCTGCCCAAGTAAGGGCGATCTACATTTAGATTCCTTGACCAAGCTATTCCAGTGCTCACATTAAGTGAAAATTATCATAGGATTTGTATTTATGCTAGATTCTGTAGATATTAAGTTGGAAGCAATGCTCACAGCTTTGGCTGCTCCTTCCTCACGACTCTGTTGCACATCTCACGAAGAATACCCCCCAGCCATTCAAAATCACTCTTCTCCAAAAATACTTGCGCACTCAAACGTGTCCATAACCATGGTCCATGGCGGAAAACCGGCACAAAAGTATCATGCTTCTCCATAAGAGTCGTCTGAATCCATCCAAACACGCGAGCAGCGTCTTGGGAAGTGACAGTCACAGCTGCCCCAGGCACCGCAGATCCATCATCAGAAACGCCAATAGGCAGGCGCACCGTTGTCATCGCGCACTGGCGCATACTGCTCTTCTCACCTGGTTTCAGATCCGGCTCCTGCATGACATCTGTTCCCAGGATCGCCGCAACCGCATCAGCGGCTTCGTTGGCCAGCTTGATACAGTAGGAGATAATGGCATCTTCGCCGCCGCAGACTTCCTGCCGGAATTTTAGTGCGGCGGGCACGCAGATGTACGCGGAGTCATCGCTGGTTGCGACAAACTCGAACAGTTCCTCGAATGGCGTCTTTGTTTTGACTGAGTTCGCATCTTGAAGGACTGAAGCCATGGTTGCAGGGGAGTCGGCTCCGGGAATGAAGCCCCAGGAAGTGGGGAGCGTCGTGCGCAGGAGATGCTGGTTGCGCTTGGGGACGTATAGAACTGCCGCGCTGCGAGGAGTATACAGCCACCTAGATACAGGGTTAGTATCTGCCGGTTGTCATTCGAGGTGCGTTGGTCTCCTACTTGTGGCAATTTGAGATGAAAAAGTCGGGTTGCAGCTTCCCCATATCAAGATGAATGTGTCCAATGCCGTGGGCACCATCGATCACACTCAGTATGCCTTCTTCCCGACAGATAGCAGTAAACCGCTCAAAGGGGAAGCGCACACCAGGATTGCTAACAATGGCATCAAAAACCGCGGCGCGAACCTTGAGACCCTCGGCACGCGTCTTTTGAACCACGTCGCGGAATTGTCGTTCGAGTTCGCCCTCGGAAATGGGGAATTGAAAGGGCACTTTCCGAGTCTGGAGGGAAGAATGCTCTTGCAGCGAGACCAGTCCTTTCTCTACGGCGCCGTAGACAGGCTCGAAATAGACGACAGCTTCACCTGCCTGGAAGTTTAGGTTGTATAACACAGTTGCGACGCCGGTAGTAGCGTTTTTCACAAAGACACATTCGTCTTTGGCCGCGTTGAGTATCTTAGCGAGACCGCCACGCGCTTCTTCTAGAAGCTTTGCATGCTGGACTCTGATATATGGATCGGGTCGCAGGTCGGCGAGATCTAAGAAGGCGCGCTGGACATCGCGGACAGCTGCTGGATGTGCGCCGAAAGAGCCTGGTGATTTAGTGTCAGCGTCGCAGCTCATTCGGAGACTTCATATGGCCGATGGATACCATGATTGAGGTTTCTATAAGATGGATCGAACAGCCAATGCTTGAGCATCGGCTTGCCGAAGGGAGTCTGAAGGGAACCCATTATGCCGAAAGGCAATTGATCGCTGTGCTGGCAAAGACAAATAAGAATTGAGTTTTCTTTGAGGATGGCTTTAAAGATAGTGGTAAAGATCCAGATATGAAAGTTGTATAGCGACACAATGAGTCAGTCGCTCAATGTGATTGTGCTTGTGGTAGTTGTATAAATATTTCCAAAATCCCGTGAGGGGTATTAAGCTCCATTGCAACCTGGCCAAGATTGAGTCACCTTCATCCGCGGGACCAATCAGTGGATTGGCTTTGCATCTTCAGATCCACAAAAGTCCCACGCGAAGGGCGTGTACGGCCGACCCCCGCCGAATCGTTTCCCACCACCTCTAGAGTTTGATCAACATCCAAGCTACTGTAGTTAAAGCTGTCAGTTTAAGCTTATACAGATCTGATGGGTCTTCTTCTAATCGTGCCCGAAGGAATTGTTTTATCAAAAATTCATGCAGAGAAAGTTGGTATACCCTTTGCCAGACTGGAATCTTGTACTTCCATACTTCGTCTCGTATTTCCCCCAACCTCGCATACGGAGCGAAATCGTATGCCGACGATAACCGCATTGCAGGCCAAGACTTCGACACCCGTACAGCTATACAGCTATATTGATAAGCGTCAATTTTTGAGAATCGGAGAGTGAGAGCGTCCTAGCCAACCGGTGAATGAAAGGTAAGCACCACAAGTGAAAGAAAAGGAGGGGCGTTGCCATCGGTCTTTGCGGCTTCTGGATACGAACTGTACCAATTTCCGGCAAACGCCAAAGCTTGAAGCCCGTCGGGACAGAGCGTGATAAATAGTCTAGATTCATCTGAATAGTCTCAATCAAAAAACCTCAAGAAACATATAGCTGCTCAATACCATATGGGATACAATTCTTTGTCGCTGATCAACCGCCGTGCTCCGTCAAACGACAGACTTTCTCCTACGCACTGTTGGCCTCGTGCTGATATCGAGCGCTTATTTCTGGCAGTTTAACGCCATAAAAGGTTCGAAGATTCATTTACTTCAAAGAAATTCCCATTATACTTACTGTGTTTGTCAAGTTATCGAAGTCTTCGGTATCGCGAATCCCAATGCGGAAAAGGCAGTGCTCGGTCCTGCAATTGGATGCAGAAATGCTGCAGCTGGCATTGTACTTCTCATTTTCAGTTTGAAGGGAGATCGCAAGCTTGCTGGAACCTTTCTTTTTGTTTGGGTTACACCTGTTGGCCAGGAGGATCTCTAGCTTTGTATGATCGAGGGCACTAGTTGGACGACCCATGCGGTAAACTTGATAATTGGCTAGGTTCTATCGGTGCTGTCGTGGTGTGTTTGAAGGACTAGGCCACAAAAAGAAAAGTTGAACGTGGAAATGGGAGCATACTGTATTATAATAAATTTTGTGGGAGTAGTATTGGGAGAATGGAGTTGTTTCCAAGGACAAAGACACTCGCAGGACACCATCCAACAAAATCGATCAGGAATCCAAAACCATGGACCAGAAACCTTTTCTCAAATTCAAAAGCGATTCCTTCCCGAGATTTTCCCCTAAGACGAGATTATATCTATTGAAAATTCTTATTATTATACTTGTTTCATGGTATTTCGCATACGGCGTCGAAAGCCCAAGGATTTTCTGAGGTCGCAAGGCGTAGCGCATTCTCAACATCGCGCTTCCGGAACGCCGGTCCAGTACCAACACAGATAGGGACTAGGCAGAGGACTGCAACAATGTTAGAAACCCGTTCGGGAGTAGAAGAAAATGACGTTGATCACTCACATCTAATGAAGCTCGCCACATTAAGCTGTGGAGTTGAATTAAGTCGAGGACTAGAGAGAGGCGAGCTGTTATCCTGGAGCCGGATGCCTCTTTCTTGTATAAGCTTTTGCACTCCACTCGCATCCAACCATTCATCAGCGCCAGATTCAGTGACGATTTGCCACGTTCTGGACGAGAGCGCGAGTTGTTCGGGCGAGTAGTTATTTTTCTTTGAATGAAGAGGACTGAGAACCTTTGTTTTGAACTCAATTGTATCCCCACTCTCATCATGCATGGAAGCATAAAAACGCGAGATCAACCGATTGCGCTCCGCGATAGTTAATGTCTTTCCGAAGATCGCCTGAATCTTTGGATCGTCTGTAGACGAGCTCGATAATAGACGGTATCCATATTCACAGCATTGCCGAACAATACGGTGCGAAAGTGTCCAGCGCCCTTGCTTTATGATATTATTGGGCGATATGGTGTTCGGGAAATTTGATTGAGGGCTTGGAGACGATATGAAAGGAAGATTCGGCGACGACAAAACGATTCCGAATGGTAGAAGTGCTTGGTCTTGGTATGGTGGCGTGGGAGGTATTTGTTGCGAGGCTGGCCATTGATTCAAAAGATCTGGCGGGGATTGGAAAGTGTCGTCTATCATCGGCAATAAATCAACTGGTGTGGTGAGCGAATCATAGTATAGATCTAAATCTGGTGGAGTGCTGAGCTTGGGAGGTGTTGCCGGCGATGCTTCTGTTGGTGTCGGTTGTTGGGGCTCGTCGCAGCCACTTTTGGCGAGTGATACGCATTGCTGCGTAATCTTTTGGAGCGCAGAAGTGACACGAGGGTGATTTTGGAGAACCTGGGACTCGAAAAGAAGATTACTGAATGAAAGGAACGACTCGCTGAGCTCTTCGATGCCCGATTCGAGTTCCTGTACGCGAGATTGCAGATTGACGATCGTGGTTTCCTTTCGCTTGCGATATGCTTGCTGGGCGACGCGAAGCTGCTTTCGACGTCTCTGCAGTCATCGAGTTAGCTATGAATTCGCGGTGTAGTGGCTTATCGAGTACCCACTTCCGGAACTTGCTGATCGTCCGTCACGGTTCGTGGCCGGCCTCGCTTGCGGGGCGCGGGTGCATCAATCTTATCTTCGACCATCTTGAAATGCTTCGTGTGAGCTCTCTTTCTGTGCAGAAGATCGCAAGGTTGTACTGAGATGGGTAGTCAAAGTAACGACCAGGATATTGCGAGGTTGGATTAATCGTCGGAGTCGGGGAGTCGGAGAGTTGAGTAATCGAAAAATCCGTGAGGGTTTGCCACAGCGCCCCATCCGAACTCCGCCTGCCTTAAATCGATACATTAATCAGCATGATGGACAGCTTTGTATTACCAAGCAACCTGCTCTTGCTTGAACTAACCTAGTTAGTTGATTAACGAAGCTTATGTTGTTATTATAATTAAAAGTTGTCCTGTGATTGGCAGAAGGGAGAAGATCGAGGATGCTAGGATTTGTAACACCTCTGGCATTTCCAAATTCAGTGTACAAAAAGCCTCAAATGCAAACCCTTTAGGGGTTATATCCCAGTTCCAGTTCCTCCCAGTTACCCTCCACCTCCATAGTCTAGTGGTATAGGAAACCATGACGCTTCGGCTGAGTTTCCCACCAGACGGGCTCCTTCTAGGAAATGGTCCTCCTCTGCGCTGGAGGGTGAGCTCCTTTTTATGCTGACCGGACACCGAGGCCACCACACGTGGCTAGATTTTTTTTCAAATTTTTTTTTTTTTCATAGCTTCCTCAAATCAAATCGATCTCTAGATTTAGGAGAATATAATAATCATTTTTTAAATCCTTTTAATAATAATAGTGGCCGTGTAAATATGGTATTTGTTGGGTGTGAGCATTGTGGTGAAGTATAGGAGCATCGTTGAGTGTCGCGAAATGTTTGTATGGTGACGCACGGGTCGGGGGTTCGATTCGGTTCGATTCACGAGGGTGGAAGTAGTTTCAACACTTAACATTTTTCGTAACTTCTCGCCATGACCAAAGTTGCTATTCAGGACTGAATCCCGCTTGAACATGGATAAATGAAATCTATATTTTCAAGTTCTATAAGCAAAAATGGAGAACATAACATCTAATCGCTTGAAAGAATGCCTCTCTCATTTTTGTCCCTCATATTCAATGTTCCCATTCTCAACACACATTGAAATCTTGAATTCCACATCTGTTTAAATGAACCAGACAGGGTTGGTCAGACCAATGGCGAAATCATCAGTGACGTTCCGGACCTCCACTCTCACAAATTTGAGGCCAGCAGGGAGCGGGCGCTGGAGAGTCTCTCCATCCCTGATGGTAGTGTTATAGAAGTAACCTTTGTCCGAGATGAAGCAAGCCTTCTGGCCACTCATACCCTCAACGGCCAGGGAGGCCTGGGCACCAGCACTGTTTCCGTGAACCTTGTCACCGATCTGAGCAATAGTGTTCCGCATATTGACGTTGAATGACATCGACTTGCCGGGACCCGAGACGATATAAGCGCGGGCATTCTTAACAGCAGCGACGATGGCCGATTGTGTGCGGCCGCGGGCGTTGACGACGGTGGTGGGGATACCGTTCAAGGATGGGGGAGAGTGGGAGTCACTGCCACCGATGGCAGCGGTGAACTTGCCAGCGACGAGAAGCTCGTGCCACTTCTGGATGGACTGTTGGTCGGTGGGGTCAAAGTCGGCATTCCAGACTTCGATGGCATCGTTGTGGTCCCATTCATCGAAGCCCCAGTTGCAGGCCGGGCAGGCGGCGAAGGGGTGGTTGACGGAGACGAAACCGCCAGCACGGTGAACCTGCTCGGTAGCCTCGACAAAGCCGGCAACATCCTGGTAACGCCAGTCGATGAGCTGCTCCCGGTCGAGACCAGCGGCTTGCCAATGTCCATGACGAGTGGTGACTTCGATGGCTCGGCAGATCAGGAGATTCGGGGCAAGGGCTTGCTGGTAAGCGCCGATGATGTTGTTGCTACTGTCGGTATTGTGGTCGGAGAAGAATATGAAAGACAGGTTCTGGGCCAGAGCAATTTGGATCTGTTCATTGGGAGTGTACTTTCCATCGGAGTAGACGGTGTGCATGTGGAAATCGCCACGGAGCCACTCCTGCTGCTCGAACTGACCGACAGTGTCAAAGTCGACCTGTGCAAAGGTAGGAGAGAAGTAAGTGTCGACGGGGTCGAAGCTCATGACAATCTGCAATTGCCAATCGATCCCCTGGGGGACGGACTGGTAAGGACCCAGAGCAACGTTCCAGGTACCGGGCTCGATAGCACCAGGGTTGTAGCCAGGAGTAGCCCAAGAGGGAGTAATGGTGAAGTTGTTGCGGAAACCACCGGACCATCCACGAGTTCCAAAGGTGTCGTTCACACCGTTAGGCAGCTGGAATCCACGCTGATCAAAGACACCCAGGTCGAGGGCGTTACCCTGACCCTTGAGGGAGTAGTTCTGCAGAACATAGACCGAGGTAGTCTCAGGCTCGACTTGGAATGGAACATAGACAAATGACATGACCTGGGAGGCATCGATGTGGCCAGTCAAGTTGAGGGTCACAGGAGCCCGAGCAGAGACACCAGCCACGAGGGCAGCCATCAAGGGAAGGATTGTAGTGGCCTTCATTTTGATCGACTCCGCTCCAACGAGAAGCGAAACAGGAATTGCGGAAGCTGAGACGTCGCTAGCTGTGAAGCAAGTGATCGTCTTCTCTTATATAGCTATATGGATATAATCATTTCTGGGGTGCGAATGAAGGAATATCCCTAACCGGTAAATATACCCATCAAATGAGTATCAGAGTCGATGAATATTACCCTGTCCCAACCCACGTGGGTGGTCTGTTGGGTTGCCCAGATATGCTGTGCCGATCGCAATTACCAATTTAGCCGGCGGTACCAAGCTTTGAAGGTGTCAGGGGTATAAAATAGGATCAGGGTCCTGTAGGGTTATTGATCGAAAAACCTAGCTCTCCAGTCTCGGACTGAGATGCAAATTGTTGATGAGCTTGTTCATGTCCACCGTGACAATGCCGAAACCAGAAGACGTGGTCGTAGTAGAACCTTTGAAAAGAGCCCAGGATTTATGATCATGTCTCTAATGGAATCAAAATCATAGCAAACTACGTTCTGATATTGGATGTTTACCGGTCCCAAACAGGAAGGCGCATAGACACAGTGGAAAAGGTGGCTGGTGAGCTTTTATCCTCATACAGAGTGCTCTGTCAATGCGTTCCCCCGCAAGGAGTCATTGCCAAGGACTGTCGGAGAAATAGAGCGGGAATTTGCTTCTCTGTTTCGTCTAGGGACCATAAATATCACGAGCGATCTGAGCCCTGGCATGTTGACATCGTGATGGCAAAGTTTCTCAGCCACTGCTTCAGCCCACGTGGGTCCTGCACGTCAGGCTTTTTCGGGTTAAGCTTGTCTGGTTCCGCCTGTGAGAATTCCCAAATCTCCAGGCTCGGGCTCCACTTTGGACCCTGCTGCATTCTAGAAGGACCACAGGCATCGAAACCAAGATCGATGACCGAGTTTGGTGCTATCTCGTTGAAATAATGATGCCTGGTACAGTACCCGGGATTAGGCCCACTATTTCGGTGGTGGTCAAGGCAAACTGAAATTGACATTGCCTTTACGGGTCAACCCATAGGATCGTCACTCCGTCGCACGCAGCAGAAGCAACAAGACACAACAGACAAGGAAATGGACGGCCGAATTGTGGCACACAGGCAGAACTTGCGGCTTCAGCATGGATGGGAGCCTACCACGTGGATTTCAGTCAAACAAAATACGAGAGGCAATTTAGCAGGGGATATCATTATTCAATCGGCGAGGACGGGTAAAGCCAACTTCTGCGCACGGTCAAGCTATTTATGAGTTATGAGGGGAGCATTGCCCAGATTTTAGCAAGAAAAGATCTTCGAGAGACATCCAACTCACTCCCTTTATCTTCATCATCGGATCGCTATCACCTTCGCTCACTTTCTTACCTGTGTCACAATGAAGTTCACTAGTGGCCTCGTCTTCTCGGGGCTCCTCGCCGCCGCTTCGGCTGTGCCGATTGCCAAGGGCCTCGAGGGAAAGTGATTTGACCGTAGGTTGCATTTCCGCCTCAATTCATCTCAATTGGATACTAATATCTTAACACTAGGCTTCGTGGTGATCGTTATGGAGAACACCAACAAGGTCAATGCTTTGGCTGACCCTTTCTACCGCTTGCTGGCCGACTCTGGTGTCCTGTTGACGGCTGCCAGGGTAAGAATGCATGATCTATACGTGTCAATTGTTTTTGCAATTCGATATTAATTATCAATAGGCACCACCCACCCTTCCCAACCCAACTACATCACCATGATTGCCAGTACCACTGCCGCTGGTGTCTACGATGACGCCGATCACAACACCACCCAGAGCAGCTTGGTCGACATCTTCGAGCCTGCTGGTATCTCGTGGAAGGCCTACCAGGAGGGGCTACTACCCTCTGGCTGGTGGTGCTTGCAACCCTATCCACCAGAACAAGACCTCGGGCTACGTCCGGTGAGACTACTCCTCCAAGTTTCTGCTAAAAGTTACGACACATATACTGATAATCCAATTTAGCAAGCACAACCCCTTCATGTCCTTTGACAACATCCGCGAGAAAGTCGCTCGTTGCCGGAACATTGTCAATGCCGAGGAACACTTCGCTGCCGACATTGCCAAGGGCCAGCTCGCTCCCCAGTACATGTTCTACACTCCCACTCTGAAGAACGATGCCCACGACACCAACGTCACCTACACCGAGACCGACCTGAAGTACATTATCAACACTATGAAGAGCAACGAGCAGTTCATGAAGAACACTCTGATCCTCGTCACCTTTGATGAGAACGGTATGATCTACCATTCCTTCGTATCTTGAGCAGCAGTATATTGATAAAAGGTAAAGATGTCTACTCCCCCGACTCCTACGGTACCCCCAACGACGTCTATTCTGTTCTCCTCAGCAAGGATGTCCTCAGCTGCACCAGCTGCGTTGACCCGCAGTTCTACAACCGTCAGTACCTTCCCTGTTCAAGTCATTCATTTTCTTTTTTTCACGAGCTAATGCTTCAGCAGACTTCACCATGCTCACCACCCTTGAGCAGAACAGGAACCTGACTAACATCCCCAACCCTAACGGTGATGGTGCTATGTGGGACTGATGGATGCTTCCTTTCTCCAAGTTGAAGGCCAAGCACAACTAGACTGCCTCGGCGGAAGAGATGTATATTAGAGATTGGGAAATGTATGCTTAGAGTTTAATCAAAACTGTGAAGGCTGTGCCTGGAACACATTTGCCCTTTTATAGTTCATTGTACAGGAAAACCATGACTCCGATCTTATGTCCAGGGCTTGAGCCATATCCTTTGGTTTCAAACGCTTTCTACAGATCCTATCAGCTTCCATTAACAGCTTCCATCAAGTACAAGCACTCTGAAGAATGTATACCGATCCTCACCGAGTCCTTCAATCTTCCATCACTTAGTCTTCGCAGCTACCCTCGCACTCTTCCTCCTCGTCTCATTCTCTCCATCATCCACTATACTCTTCTTTCTCTTCTCCGTACCCACCGCAGACGCCACCGTCTCACCAACCCTCTTCCCATCCGCCAACATCCTAACCAACGCCTCAATCCTCCTTCCCCTCGCCGCCACCGAAGCAGTCTCCACCCTCCACAAAACCGCATACCTCTCACTCCTCTTCAACCCCTCAAAAAAGCTCCCCGCCCCATCCACCCTCGCCAACGCCTCCCTAAAATCCTCCGGAACAACCATACTCGCCGGCCCCGCATACGCCCGCTCCCACCGTCCATCGGCCTTAGCAGCATCCACCGCCGCCAACCCGGCGGGCCGCATCCGCCCCGCGCTCACGAGGCGCGCCACTGTGTTCACGTTTTTCTGGGACCAGATGCTTTTTGCGCGGCGTGGGGTGTACCGCACCAGCCACCAGTTTTCGTCGAGGGTGTTGGCGCGGCCGTCGATCCAGCCGAAGCAGAGGGCTGTTTCGACGGCTTCCGGGGCGGTGATGGACGGGATGCCGGAGGACTTTTTGGCGAGTTTGAGGTAGAAGCCTGGGGCTGTGGTGTGGTTTTGGTCTAGGAAGATTTCTAGGGCTTTGGCTGTGGGGAAGGAGTGGATTGGCAGATCTGATGGGGGTGGTTTAGGGGATTTGGGGGGCATTGGAAGGGATGAGAGGGGGTGTGGATGAGTCTAGGAGAGATGTGGTTTAGGATGCGAGATGAATGGGAGAATTTGAGGGATGACAGGTAGATTGTTGAGCTGAAGCTATGAGTGAGGTTGAATCTAGAGAGGTTCATGATTTGTGCCAGGTCTGATGTGGCTTGTGCTCTGCCTGATGTTCTCCGCGCCGAGACATTGGCGTCTCTTTACGGTCAAGCACTAGAGCCGAAATGGTAACTAGCCAACCAAGTCTTGGTATTATTCCCGACCTGCGACGATGAGTTTGCTTCTACGAGATCTACACAAACAAAGAGTCGAATACATGCACAAAATACATTTCAAATGCTGCTAACAAACAAGTATGTTGATACAGATAGTCCAGAACAGATTGACGGCACGTAGCAGACACGGTCCCGTCACGCGTGTCAGCTCGAGCTTGACCAAAAGAATAAATCAAGGCAACTAGATGCACGATTCCCCTAGATACCCCGTACAATAATCGGACAAATACAGCTCAACGTTTACCGCTTGCCCTTCTTGCGGGGAGCCACAACCTTAAACGCGGCATTGCTAGCCTCTTCATCTCGCTGCTGGGAAGCAGTAGCGCTGGCAGCGGAGCCCTTCTTGGCAACCTCGGACCAGCCACCACCGTTCTTCTGCTCAGCGAAGGCACTGGGGGAGACAGGGTCGACAACGCCCTTGTCGGCAAGCTTACGGCGGCGAATGAACTCATCCGCGAAGCGGCGGCCGTCCAGAGTCTGGGAGTTGGCGTAGACGGAGTCGGAGATGATCTCAGCCTCAGCGGGGAGGAAGAGAAGTTGCTGAACAAAGTCATCCACGTTGATGTTGCTGTTCAGACCCTTGCCCAGGGCCAGCTTCGCCCATTTGGTGAACTCCTCAACAGCCCGGTTGGGGTTGGACTGCGGGATACTACCAACGGTTGTGCGAGTAGCAACGACAGGACGGGGCTTGGCGGCAGCGGGAGCAATGGGGATGGTTCCGCTGGCTGAGCGAGGGCCAAGGGGAGCAGCAGGAGGAGCCTTAGCCTTACCGCCGGCACCGACCGTAGTCCAAGCACCAGAAGCCGTAGCAGCAACGGTAGGAGAAGCAGTAGGAGCTGGGGCCTTGCTGGCAAGGTCAGCGTAACGCTTAGCGACAGAAGCGGGAGGGCTGGGAGTGGCCGTCTGAGCGGCAGCGGCAGCAGCAGAAGCCAAACGCTGCTTGCGAGCCTCTTCTTCCTTTTGAATCTGGGCGAGGGTCTTCTTAGTCGCGGTGTTGGTCTGGACAGGCTGGCTCTTAGTATTCCAAGGAGAAACGGCGGCGGAGGGAGTAGCGGGGGATCCAGCGCTGGCCCAGTTGGCAGATGAGGGAAGGCCAGGAACAACTTGCGCCTGGGCCTGGCTGAGACGCTCCTGCTCTGCAAGGAGCTGGGCGCGACGAGCGGCCGCAGCAACTTCTTCACGCTGAGCAGCAGTGCGAGCCTCGGCCTCCTGAATCTCCTTCAACGAAGGACCCTTGGGCACCTCGTGAGTGTCCTTGGCCCATGGCGCGACAGAAGTGGGCGCAGAATCAACGGGAGTTTGAGTCTGAGAACGAGAGCCAGCAGCCAAAGACTCGGCAACATTCTGACGGTTGCGCTGGGCGGCGGGAGCAGGCAAAGGAGAGGCAGACGGAGGTGGAGGGAAGGGCTGAGGCATAGCATTGTCAACCTGGGAACCCCAGGCAGACTCGGGAGCAGACTGGTTCTGTTGCTCCTGCTCCTGCTGCTGTTGACGCTGAGCAGAAGCGGCCTTGTGAACTTGTTGAGACAGAGTAAGAGCGGGCTCTAGAGCAACGGGTTCGAGTTCATCCACAGCCTCAGTAGCCGAGGACTCTGCCTCGTGCTCCAGAGCGGCGGCAGGGTGAGTAGGAAGTCCTTCGGCGGTGCGCATGCCCAGTTCTCCCTCCTGAGCCCTCAGGGCATGGAATTGGCGCAGGCGTTCCTCACGGGCCTCCTGGTCAAAGGGGTCGTTGGCATTGGCCTGGTCGAATTCCTCCTGCTCCTGCTGCAACTGAGCGCGGTCCTGGAGCATAGACGCCACCTGCTGGGAGTGAAGGAAGCTGTCCGGCTGGCGACCAGAGAACGAGCCAGCGGCGCCGAATGCAAACGGATCCTGGCGACCGACGTTCAAACGATCAAGAAGGGCAGGGAGCTGATCTTGGCCACCAAGGTCGGTTCCAAGCATTCCAGGAAGGACATTGGGCAGTCCACCCTGTCGAAGGGAGGCAGCGGCATCGAAAAACCCGGGCATGCCCTGGGATTGCTGCTGTCCTTGAATAGGAGCTTGGATCGGAGAAGGCTGGTAAGCAGCAGGAGAGGCGATGCTGCCGAAGCTGGGCTGGCTATGGAGGCTGTGGGCACTGGATTGATGCTGAAGCTGGGGCTGCAGAGACGGGGGAGCGCCAGGGACCTGCATCTGCTTCATGATAGCCTGCTGCTGAGCAAGATGTTCCTTCTGTCGTGCCATCAGATACTGCTCCTCCTGCTTCCGTCGTTCGAGCGCATTTTGCTGCTCAGCGGTCAAAGTAGTACCAAAGCTAGGGAAGCTGCCGGGGAACGGAGGCTGAGCCGAACCCTGGTTGGGATTCTGCCATTGACCAGGTGCAGGCTCGGGGCCATGGGGGATGCCAATTTGGGGTACAAGGAAGGGCTCCCGCGAGTTGCCAATGCGACGAACTAGCTGAGCCAGTGGCTCGAACTCCCCATCCTCCAGTTTCTTGATTTGCAAGTCGGGGCTGAAGAATCCAGCCTTGAACCAGTCGTGCATCTCTAGACCAGTCCACGGGCCTTGAATGTTGCCCTGCGGATCACGGTAGATCCAGCGCATCCGATCCGGCATGACCATGGTTCTTTGTTGAGCAGCAGAGATAGACCCACCAGGAGTAGGTGCCTGAGTTAGGTCGTGGGTGAGGTTAGCAGGGATTGAGCCGACAGCAGAGACAGGGGTCTGGGAAGCAGAGTTCGAGCCAGGCTTGCTTGTCTGTCCAGTCCTCTCCGGTTGCTGCCCATCGCCTTGTTCCAAGCCCACGGAATCTGAACGGCCCTGATCCTCTCCCATTCCAGAGAAGAGTGCACCCAACTTGCTTGATCGACCGATACTAGCGGTACCAGAGAGGCCGGCATGCGGGCTGAAGAGACCACCACCTCCAAGAGTGGACAAGCTGGGGGACTGAAGCCCGCCCATGGAGCCAAAGATAGGATCGCCAAAGCCACCCACAAATGCTGAACGCTCACGGGTTGGGGTGCCGATGGCATCGCTGGACGGCCATCCTGACGCCCCGCCCAGGCCCGAGAGACCGCCCAGGCCACCGAGGCCAGAGAAGTTTCGGTTCGCATTGACGCTGGAGTTTTGGCTGCGATCAATTGAGGGAAGATCCATACCCGAACCGACCCGTCTCATCGAGCCGAATGGATTAGACGGATCACGCAGACCGCTCAGGCCAGGGTGCTGGGGATGCTGAATATCCGAACCATCAGTGTCGACATCCTCTGCATCTGCGGCAGTCCGATCGCCGTGGGGACTTTGATAGGGGTTTGTGTTGGTAGGGCTGGTAGGCTCATGTCCCTGGAGGAGGCTAGGGGTGGGGTTCCTCGAGTTCTCTTGACTCTGCATCAGCTCACGGAAACCAGGGATGCTGGAGGTCATGCCAAAGGCACCAAATCCAAGATCAGCCTGAGAGGGAGCTTCAACGTCCTGAGATCCACCGAGTGCAGCACTGCCACTGCGAGGCTCGTCGAACGGATTGGTTTCGCTTCGGCTCGCACGGGTTTTGACAGCGTCTCCCCAAGGAGACTGCGAGCGCTTTTCACTGTCCTCTTCCGCGAGTCGCTCGAGGTTGCCTAGAGACTTGTCCTTGGCAGAGCCTGCAATATCATCCGAACCCTCCTTGGAGAGTAGGTCCTTGAACCTGCTTTCTCCACGAAGACTTCCAAACCCAGCTTTCTTCTCGGTTGTGGGAGTCTGTGCGGTGTTTGAACCCAGCGAGAAGGCACCAAAGGCGCCCATTGGCGAGAAGTTGGCATTGTGGGAAGCCGATGCAGAGCCCCAGGGTGAGCTAGGGCCACCAACGGCCGTGTTAAGAGGGTTGGTGGAGCTGCGCTTCAGACTACCAAAAGGAGAAGCGGCTTCAGCGCCACCTTCCTTTGCCTTTTCATCCTTGGCATTCGGTTCGCGGAAATCGGTCTTGCGACGCAGGAGGGCGGGAGGAGGGGTAGAGGTGTTGGCTTCGTCACGGAAGAATCGAGTGTTGGTCCCAGTAGGTGACATGGGATTGCCCACAGAATCTCCAGTCTCACGGCGGCGGTTACTCGGGCGGGCAGCGTTCGGGGAAGAGGTATTGTAGTTATTCATGTGGCCCTGGGTGTAAGAGATGGACGATTTGCGACCTGTAGTGCCTGTGCCTGCATTCTCCTTTGGGGCGTTTGTGGGTGGCGGCTTGAGAGGGGAATTGACCGAAGCGGAAAATAACTGCAAAGAAAACCCAATTTTTAGCAACCCAAACCAAGCACATATGCTGCGTTCTCAACTGGCACTAGAGATGAAACAAACCTCTTTTTCACCGTCGGACATATCAGTCAGTCCCAAGGGCTCGGCCTGGCCGCCATGATCCCAACACACCTCAGGGCCGGCGGAGGTCTTGTGGTCATCCCGCTTTCCCCACGCCCCATTCATAGGAGCTGAGACAGTGTGAGGATCCCAGTCAGCCACAAAGTAGTCCTCCACATGCTTGCCCAAAGAACCGGCGTCCCGTTGCGCCTTGTACAATTCTAGGAGTTGCTCCTTGGAGTATCGGGAATCCCCGTTGCGCGGCGCACTAGACATGGTATTTGAGCTCAGGTGAGGAGGGACATATGCCCCAGAGGCAGTAGGTGTCGAGGCGGAAGCAAGTTGGCTACTGTCCCGGGTGTGCGAAGGGTTGGTAGCCACCGAGGGGCGCCGGAAGGTCTGCGTAGCTCCGTTCATGCGGGATCGCGACCTACAGAGTGGTTCAAGGTTAGCATTGGGTCTCACACTTGCGGCTAATTGAGTAGCAACAAGGCCGGCACGGAGACACCAAACATAGTCGGTGAAGTGACTCGGTGCTCTGGGCTCAGAGTGGGCAGGGCCTGTTCTTTTGGGAGCATACCATTCTCCACCAGTGCTTCCATCCCCTCTCCGGCTGGCATCCTGGGTGTTGCCAGCGGCAGCCGAAGCAAAACTCGACGGAAGTGGTGTAGGCATTATGGAAACGAGGTTGAGCTGGACAGATCGAGATCGCCCACAAAACAACAGAGGTTGAGGAAGTATTCGTCGCGAGACTTTGAAAGTGGCGGAAGTGCGAGAAGTGTGATGCGAACGGAGATGGGAACGCAAAACACGAGAGACAAAGGCCTGAAAAGGATGTGGGTGTATGAGATGATGTAGCAGAACGCTAGTTCAAATCGAAGAGCTCGAGGAGGTGGAGGGAGGGAGGTGAGTTGTTGTGTATGTAGAAGAATGCGAGCGCCAGACTAAAAAGGTCACGACAAGAAAGAAGAGATCGAAACTCGATTTCGCTTGGGTTTCTCCAGAGCAAAAATGGAATTAGCGGGTTGTGGCAATAGGCGCACCGAGGCGGAAATACCGTGTATTCGATACGAGAGTCGCGTTGCCAAATGCGACCATGTCCCTATGTAACCAGCTAAAATTACACGGTAATCAGAAAACCAAAATGACCCCCGCCACACTCCCAGCAGAGTCCTCCGAGTCGTGACTACACACACACACCACCCCATCACCACACACATCATCACTCTCGAGAAACCGCCTTTTTTTTGCGGAGTGCAATCATGAACAACGGATATTCAACTCAAGAATTCTTGCAAGTTCAGTTAGCTAATATCTTCTAGCAATTTCTACGACAGTGCTCTTGGTTCCCCCCTCCCTCGTCGTCTGCCCTCAAAGAGCTATAAACGATGATGTCGACTGGCATCTATGAATCCGGTGGCTTGGTTCCCGCAAGCTGCGGGCGTGGTAGTACTCATGATACACGTCTACCCAGCTAACCCCACACTCTGCCTGTCATTGGAGGCCACGAGTGCTTTCAAACCGTTAAAGTTGGCTTGGATTGGTCTTATTTTGGACGTGTCGTGCTGCCTCTTGGCATTTTGAGCCTTTGAATGCTGCTCGCCCTTGCTGCACACCGATGATACGCTGCCTCCAACGCACAAACATTGCAATAAAAGGAATGACCCCCAGTCAAAGAGTCGGAAAAATCAAACAGACATAATGGAGGGGAGGGATACCTGCATGTTCGCCTTTATCCCTTTCTCCTCCTCTCTAACCCCCCCAGCCACCACCCGCGCCGAAATGCTACATCTGGCCTTTGTCTAGCATAAGATTCCATTGACTCTGAGTCACCCACTCTGTTGCCCGTCTCGTCTGTTCAAGTCTGGCCTGGGGACTTGACCTCATGGCTGGAATCAGAATCTCATTCTTTTTGATCTGTTTTATTGCAGAGACTTTTCTTTGTTGACGTCGGCACCATTTCCTAAACATACAGGTTTGCTTCAAACTCTAGAATTGCTCTAACTCTGGACCTCTGGCTGCTGCGAGTGCTTGCCCGACAACAATGCTTTATCTCATTCTTTGTTCTGATGGTCACTCATGGTCTCAGCTTGCATCGGCTTTCAAACGACCTGAGGGACCCAGTGTGAGCCTCTATAGATCCGAGAATACATAACATCTCTCTTCATTCGCTTCTTCCGATCTTCATCCTTTGGTAGATCCCGCAATTCTTTGCTACAGCTTTCCTCTAAGCTCTTTGCTCCAATTGTCTTGTTTCATCAATTTGTCCTCCTTCCGGCGAGACAGTTCTAACTTCGGATCTTCCCGTGTCTATCGGCAAAGCTCACGGGACAGAAGACATCCCCATCCACCCATAATGCCCTCAACGCAACACCCATACCCTGGGTTTTTTACGGCAGGTAAGGGCATACGAGCCTTCACCGGCCGTCTCCGCCATGGGCACCCTCATCCCATCTTGATCAATGCACAAGATGGCCGTTCTTCCCCCCTGAGAGGACGCACTTCTCGATGCTCCTCTCCCACAACACCTCCCGCCGAACGGCGTGCATATGCAGCACGAGAGCAGGCGCGCAAGGCCAAAACCAATTCTTCAACCGGCTATAGTTCAGAGAGGTCGAATTCGGTTCCACCACGCCCACGTCACACTCATAGCCATCGAGGCCATTCAAAGCAAGAGCCCGAGCCCGAGCATCTACCATATACGCACAAGCACTCGACCAAGCATCATCGAAAGGCACCAAAGCCTGGTGAGCCGCCACGACGACATGAAAGTGATACCGAATCCAACTGGAGCACCAACGTGCATGTCCCATGGACTACTCAACATCCGTATCATCACCACCACCGCCATGCATCCCATTCCGATCATGTCGTGCTCAAGGCACCCTTCACTTGCCATTGCCCAGAATGCTATCAGGCCGCTCATCGGCCCGTCGAGACAACCAAAGAGGACCACATGCCACCCAAATACTTCTACGAGCATCATCCACACTCCTTTGGGACTCATCCAGTTCTTGCCGATCACCGGGTTCCATGTCGCTGTGGATTTATACACGTCGAGCCTGCCCAGGAACCGTCTTCTCGATCTACGAGCCCTGGCAAACATCAAAAGGGACATCGTAAACATTCATCTGAGCCCGAAGAGGTTCGATCTCATCGCCACCGGCGTCGCCGACACCGTCGGCACCGCCACTACACGACAGACTCATCCTCTGACACGACGAATGACGATGAGGAGACAAGTTCGGAGAGCGATGCGGAAACTCGGGCTGGAGGTGAGAAAGTTGAGTATGAGTTGCCGAATGATTGGCGGTTCTGTAATGAGTGCTGTTGGGGACATCCCGTATTTTATGTCCTGCGGTAGACTTGGCTCTGAGGGCTTTGTTGCTGGAACAGGACAGTCGAGGTCTCGGTTAGTATGTGTAGTGGGCGCGCTTGAAAGGGAAAGATTATTTTTGACAGAAATATCTATCATAGAAAAGAGCTTATTGTTCTAGGTATCAGTGTTTCAACTCATTCCGTTCTACTTCCGTTCTACAATCGAATGTCGACAAAAGATAATTGAAACTTCTCTTGTCGAGCATTTTTTGGTGCTCGTCATTAACCCGCCGTTGGAAGCTGATTATTGTACCTAGAGAGTGGCTCTGTCTCAGACCTGGTATTTACTACCTAATCGGAATATCGTAATCACTGATCACCTTTGAGCTTGTCCACAATCTTGGAAAAAAGACCATTCTTCTCTATAGGTGATTAGAAGAACCTATGCCCTGCCTACCCCGCAAAAGGGCAAAAAACAGACCTCATAGTCAGATAGACAATGGTGCCCAGACTTGTTCCTTATTCTACAATGAATATCTGGTCATTGAGACAGGAATCGACCGTGTAATCACTATGCAGCCTTATGTACTCCAAATTGGAGACAGGGATGCTGCTGATCTCCAAACGATTAATTACTAATGTCAACCATTCTCCATACCCGGGCCGAGGTCCCCGGGACGCACGAAAGGGATCTCCCACGTCCAATTACACATAAAGTCTGGCCTGTGCAGCTGGATTTTGAAACATATCTACAAGTCATCTTTGTATAACCGCTTGATCCATAATTCCCTCTTGCCAAGTGCTTGACTGTGATTCCATCATCCTCACTGTCCAAGCCTCGGTTATCGATAAGAACGAGCATCCCCGCACGAACCAACAATAAGCGGCTTCATTCATTTCTCAACTTGACCAAAGACATACCGACCTCAATAGAGAGCAAAATGTCCAAGGCAGTATATATTTCAACCATTGATGGCAAGCCCGGCAAGCCGGGCCAGGTCTACTATCCGCTTACACTGCGAACCCTGCCCCAGCCTTCCCCGCAAGGGCGAGAGCTGCTCGTGAAGCTGACCGCCGCCTCCCTCAACCACCGAGACCTCTTCCTCCGCCAGCACCTATACCCCGGCGTGACATTCGATGTTCCTCTCCTCGCAGACGGGGTTGGAATTGTGGTTGGTGCGGGCCCTAATGTGTCGAATGCCGACAAATGGCAGGGCAAACGCGTCATTCTGAACCCAGGCGTTGGCTGGAAAGACTGTCCCGATGGACCAGAGGAGGCAACTGGATACCGAATTATGGGAGGCACCAAGTTCTATGATAAGGGTACTCTGCAGGAGTATATTACTATTGATGAATCGGAGGTCGAAGAGGCGCCCGCTCACCTCTCCGACGCGGAGGCTGCGGCCTTGCCCCTGGTGGGTTTGACTGGATGGCGAGCCCTGGTCTCCAAGGCTGGCGAGAGAAATACCAAGGACGGCGCTGCCATTTTGATCACCGGTATTGGCGGTGGTGTTGCATTGATGGTGCTCCGATTTGCGGTCGCTCGTGGAGCTCATGTCTTCGTGACGAGCTCTAGCCAGGAGAAGATCCAGAAGGCTATTGAGCTTGGCGCTGCTGGTGGCGTGAGCTATAAAGAAGATGGATGGGATAAGAAGCTGCTGGGTATGCTTCCTTCTGGCAAGAAGAACTTTGACGCCATCATCGACGGTGCTGGCGGCGATTCGATTGAGAAGTCTGCTCGGCTGCTCAAGGTGAGTTGACTGATCATCTGGCGACAATGCTTACAGGCAACTGCAATGTTCGAGGCTTGTGACTGACGATAATGAATAGGCTGGTGGTGTTCTCTCTGTTTATGGCATGACCGTCTCCCCCAAGATGCCATTCACGATGCAGACTGTGCTGAAGAACATCGATGTCCGTGGATCCACAATGGGATCACGAAAGGAGTTCAAGGAGATGGTCGACTTTGTGGCTGCCGAGAAGATTCAACCTGTTGTATCGAGAGTACTCAAGACCGACATTGACGACCTGGCTGCCATAGACGGACTCTTCGAGGACATGAAGCACGGCAAGCAATTTGGGAAACTGGTTATCGAATTTGGAAAGCATGCAGGCAGCAAGCTGTAAATCTAGCAGAATAAGATCATGACCCATTGATGAGATAAATGAACATGAACTTTAAGAAGCTCCATCAAGGCTCGAGTTTGGCGGGTGCCAACGAGTGTGGCTCCTTCCTTTGCCTGCACTTTTGTCGTCGCCAGACATCAAGAGATTCTCCTGCCTTTGCCTTTGCCTAGATTCCTCTATTCAAGCTGCTCACTCCAATCCGTTCACGTATCCCATCACAGTGAGCCGGTTGCATTCAACCCCATTCTTTCATATATTGCACAGCCCTTCATCCACCAGTTTCCGTCGGCTTCCATTTCATCATGGCCACCGAGAGCAAGTCTCGTTCGATGAAACCACCCGGCTTACAGTCTCGAGGTACTGCTTCGACGCAGCTGATGCCTGGAAGTCTTGTCTCCCCGCCATATAATTCTTGTGCTTGGTACGAAAAAGAAAATTTAGTATGTATCACCGACATCGACAACAGGACCATATCTTACAAAATACCAACTTTGATTATTCAGAGTCGTGCCCAAGCAGCACTGCACATGTCCAACGAGAACCTTGCTTGCCGTCTTGCAAAGCTGAAGGTCAATGCCGGTCGCCTCCAGCGCGAGCTCTTCCTCCTCCAGCGGCACATCAAAGAATTCCAATGCCCTCTATTCGAAACCTACGAGGCGGATATATTGACTCGTCTCATCGACGTTGTCCATGCTCATCAGGACAAAAAGATGATGGGAGGAACCGCCATCAGCTCCGAGAGTATCGCGGAGCGTGAGATCATCTCACGCGCGTATATCAATGCCTCGAAGCAGGTTCAGGAGGAGACCATAGAAAAGCTTGGTCTCTCAAGCCAGCACTATCAGGCGATCCGTCGGTACGAAGAGGTAAGAAAGTGCATCCCACTCTCCAGAGCGCTCGCAATGGCATGGGATTTCGGAGAAATAGAACATCGCATGCCTGCCTGTGCTTACACATATAGCAGGTCGCAGCATATCGCAGCCCAAATCCATTCCAAACCGAAGCGCCCTTTGCGAGATGGCTGCTTGAGAAGAAGGACATCCTACCGGGGAAGTATGCCTTCTGGTCGAAGCTATACCCCATCTGCTACGGCCGCTCAGTTGAGCAGAGCTCTACCATCCTTTGAGCGACTCTCAATAACCTCTCTTCCACACGATCTGGTATATTCCGGAGTTTGGGCAGGGCACAAAGAAATCGGGCATTCATGGAATACTGGCGTTATGCAGGGACAAGTCAGGACACGCCATCATCTTTGGGACTACCTCTGGCGATTATCGTCCTGCATTGGCTTTTCTTTTTTCTGTCTTTCGGTCAGCGACAGTCCTTGCTTCATTTTAGCTTGACATGTATACAGCAGATATCCTCAGGCGCCCAGTGGCAACTTCAACAGTTCGCAGACCGCTTCGACATTTGCAGTTTCTGATGACCTCCAGCTTCGATAGTCAGTGTCGACGTCTACGCCCACCTGGAACATCCTCTGGTAACCAGTAGTTCACATAGGCTCAGGCGGCAGCTCATGTTTCTTCTCGGCAGATAGATCGACCCAGATAAGCTGTTACTGTTACATCGGCTCCAAACTCAGACCTAAGCGAGAGAAAAAAGAAAATAAAGCTTCAGACCGCTAGAACATCAAAAATCAGTGTCATCGCTATAACCACATCTTATTCGCGTAGGGCTACGTCGATCAGGCCAACCTAGCGTCCAGCTAAAGGCCAAATTATCCATCTCAAAAATAAAATAAAATAAAATAAAGGGGAACCCGCTTTGGCTGGTTCTTATTGAGCGCCGTTACGCTGCCGAGTAACTTAACTAAGCCGAAAGCTATTTTGATCAACCAAGCAAAAAGCATAACCAACTCCCATGCCCTAAATCTGCGAAAAACACAAGGCCCAAATCTAAGACCATCAACTGTCACCGTTGCAGGCGATCTTGCCAAACCCCCCTTCCCCCCCCCAGATATCCGGCTAAAAAAGGGAAGTTTTGAGTTCGTTCCCACTGGCTAAGAATAGACCTAAGCTTGCTGGCCGCTTTCCCCCTATTCCTCTTTGGGGATCGAGTGAGACAGACAGATGTCTCACGAGTCTCACAACTCAAGCCCAGTTGAGCTTTGCATGAATTTGCAGGCGACTGGTGAATCACGGCGAAGGAGTGTCGTGACCTATTAGTCAAGCAGTGCCCCGTGCCTACCTTAGGGTTATCCAGAAAAGCACCATGGTGAAGCCCAAGAACAAGTCTCAGTTGGTCGTGCATCCGATTCAGGGTCCCCGATTCGTTCCGGCTCGGTTAGGTTCCGAAGCCTCACGTTTGGCTTTCACGGTTTTTTAATACTTGCGATATACTACTGGTGATGATGTTGACGTCGATATGCAAAGGCCTGCTGAGGAGACAATGGTCCATTACCAAATGTATACAGTTTAGGCGAGAGTCCTGCACCACTCAACGCACAAAGTACCCAATAATAGCTCCTCTGATAGATCTTTTTCCTTCTTCCATCTAGTGTCCCCGCTTCGTTGTTTTTACCTCTTCAAGCATGAGAAAGGCTTATGTAAAGGGCACTAAAGATGGACAAAGAACTGACCCTGTTACCCGATTCGTACTTCGCAGGGCCGTGCGAGTGCATTATTGTATAGCCAGTCCTATTGGACGGTGCACTTCCTTTGCTATGAATACTCCTGGAGCTGTCAAAGCCGAGGTTCAAGCACAGACTTGGCACCAATTATTCCGTCTCGTAGACACCTTCGGAGAAGAAGCTGGAATGGAGCCAGAGATGGGGACTGGCTGGAACTGCTGCCTACCTTGGCAGAAAGGTTCAATGAACTTGGCAACTTGAACGGTGCACAAGCAGGCCCCAGAATAACGAGGGTCAGTGGATCATCATTCCACCAGCCATGTTCGCTGGGAGAAAGATGTGGTGGGCGCCTTTTCGAGAGTCAGTTCAAGCTACTGTACGGGATGGTTACTGTTGTTGGTAGGAGTCGGGGTCCCATGGAAGAGGCAAACGTGCGAAAAGAAAAAAAGTGGGTTGTGGATGCTCGGGTCCGACAGGAATACGGAGTAGAGAAGGAGCTAAACTCATCCTGAGCTCAAAGTGATGGGATAGGAGAGCATGCCACGGCCAACACCCCATAGTAAACGCTGTCATTGGACAACTGTAACAGCGCACACCGCGGACCGAGTAGCGGGCTTCCTCGATCTGGTATAGAGGCAGGAGGACGTGCAGGAGAAAGGACGGACTCCGGAGTAGATTTGCATCCCGAGGGCCCGACAGGTGAGTTGGAAGGATTTGGAAGTTGCCCTATGTATCAGGAATCATTTTTTATTTGCTGTCACGCTGTGGGCTATTGCACGTCTCCACTGCGAGGATCGGTTAGCTTGATTTTTCTGGTAGAATGCGGAAAATCTGCTCCACCACGTTTTCCTGTGCAGCGGGAGAACATCGCGCCGTCTCTTATCGATCTTTGGGCGCGATCTTGGGTGTGGATGCGTGAAGAGTGTTAGAAATGCGGAACCACATCTCCCATTGATTCCGTGGTTTCGGGCGGTAGTACAACTGCCTTTGATGGAGATTGGAGATTGGATCAGAGCAGCCTTAGCATGCTGGTTATGTCAGCGTTTGATTGAGGGATCAGCGACACAGACCGAGAGTTCGCTTCAGACCTGTTTCGATGCGTTTCGACAAGGCAATCCTGGTTCCAACGAGCTTTTTTTTCTCCTTCTGGGGATGCTTCGGCTTAAAGAAGTGTTAAAATTCTTGAATTCATTGAACTTGAAACGGCCGTAGCTCGGCGGACGTTTCAACCGCGGCCGATCAAAGCCGATCGCGAACTGATTGAGGGTCATCAATCGGGCAGACGACGCCAAAGTTTATTTTCTTCTCATTTTGTTACTAGCTTCTAGAAGTCGGTAAATTCTATCAAAATTTGGTCGGGTAATTTGTTTTGGATTTGTTAGTCTGGTTTTGGGACACTTTCTTGGTGTGAACTCTCTCCGCAAGTTGTTGTACCGCCCGCAGGGATATATATCCTGACGCATGGTATGCCGATCAATCTCGTGCCGATGTCACCCTACAACCATCGGCGTATCAATAACCCGAACATGGAATTGACATGAAGCAGGATCATAAGATCCCAACTCATTAGGTGCGGGACTTGAGTGATGTCAAATTGATATACATTGTTAAAAGCGCGATGGTTGCCCACTCCTAAATCGGATCGATACTTGCAGTTAGCTGTATGGAGTTAGTCAATGTTCACCTCACAATGGAATGGTGGAAAGAGAAGAAAATGATGGATTTAATGTTTCACTTCCCCTGAGCTATCCATATTTATCCTCTAACCATAAATAAACACGCCCCATAAGGAAGGTCAATATGCTTACGCGTGCTGCCACTTATTTTAACTTCTTTAACTTCTTGCTAGCGTGCCCTAAAACTCGAACTGGGAACTGGGGCGTGGAAGAGTTAGGCTCAGCGACGCCCCAGCCAGAGCAAAGATTGACACAAACCTAGTACAGTAGTGAAATATCGAGCCAGAATCGGAGGACAGAAGGGAAGCTGGAGCTGGAGCTCTCAACTCCATGTGGGCGGTAGCGTCTTTTCTGGCACCACCGTTCCCACCAACTAGCCCACGCTCTGAGCATGATTTGCACGCATTTCCTTTCGGTTTCTAACCAGGATCTGGATAGGATCGTCCCTGTTGAAGCGGGTGGCGCCAGGCCCACAAGCTGAACTGACTTTGAATAATCGTATCTCTAAGTATATCTCAAGAATTCCGGTGAAACCCCTCCTATGGCCTTCCTCACAGTGAAACACTCAACACCGACAGGGTACGGTCGTGAATTGAGTTGCAATAAGGGGCAGATAAACAAGTCACGATGTCGGCTCATGCCCGGGCCGTGGAGGACTACCATTCCAGGGCCAAGTTGGTGACATCGATGTAAGTTCGTTTGACATGCACTATCAAACTAGTTGACGACTGGCGATATGACTGTCATCACACGTAAGGTCATCAATATTGCTGTAATTTCCACCACAGAATGAAGAGATTCTCTCAACTACGATTGGAGTTCATCGAAACGTACTGGAGGAGTTAGATGACGGGCCATGCCCCCATCTCCTTTAAAGTCGACCATCGATATCAACAATCGAAGTCCAACTTTGGGAGAAAGTAGGCGGCGCATCCCCAATCAACCGGAAATCGCCCGGTTGATAGAACTACGTATCATTAATGGCTTGCAACGAGTGGTCTCTATTACCCCAAATTAGGATTTAACGAATGTTTTTCCCAGCCAAGCTAGCACTAAACAGACAAGGAGGGAGCTTTGCCTAGAGGAGGACAGAAGGGGATTCATGGGCATATTATTCTCCGGACGGACCGAATTCTTATGATGTCTCTGGAAACAGCCATGTCAAATGGTGAAGCTTGGAACTCACTACCAGCGCCCGGGTCCCATAAAGACCACTCGAGCGAGATGCACCCCTCAGAGAAACCTGGGTAGATATGTTCCCACGTCATCTCATCTTCCAGAGAAGAGCTGGCTAACCTGCAAACCAGACTATCAGTGAGGTCAAGCCTCAAGGCCCCCCCATCTCAAAGCCAATAGAAAGTACCATGAGCTGTAAGATGTGGCTGAGCAAATCGAGTTGCTAGCCTCGACAATGATGTCGAGGGACCCACTGTGTGCCATAGAAGTTGGTGCGTATTGTGAAATGAACATGAGCCAGCAAGCTACTGACAACTAATGCTGCAGATGCTCACATTCCTCCCATCACCCCTTGAGATGGAGCCTGCAATCATAGAGCGTCACAGACCACAATTCTGTCGTTTGACTCGGGCACAAAAGCAGTAAGGGTTCTTACTAGGGTAGATCATGGTTTCAGTCCAACTACGGCAGCCGCCACTCTCCCATTCGGATTTCGATGCAAGGCTTCCGCGGGGGAGGGCGTTGAAAATCATTATTGAGAATAAGATTAAGATCGATCTCCCTTGAAAACTTGATTGGCAGTCCGTTCAAAGTACTCTGCCATATTGCTATTGTACGGGGGAGAGAGAGTATGGCGTATGCAGGTACAAAGCAATGGAGATGACTACTTCATAGATACGCCCCAGCCATCTCGATTTTGGAATT